TGGATCTTCTGCTTCCTTTGCCAACTGAAATCAAATGAAAGTGTTAGGTCATGGCATTCACAGGAAATCTTTTCGAAACTTGTTTTTCTTTCTCCTTTTTTTACCTCCTCCCTCCCTGTCTCTCTCCCTCTTTTTCTTTCTCTCTCTTTCTTCTATGTAACAAGTCAGGTGGTGATTATGAAAGCCAGGCACTAAGGCAGCTTGCTGGGCCATGCTCCTCCTGCGGCTTAGAACTCTGGTGGTAGCCAGAGTGTACTCACCAAAGGGTATTGTCACATGCCTCTTTAGGGTGTGCAATTGTGCAATTACCTGAGGTGAACATGACATCACCAGAGTGAATTACTTTGGGGCTTGGCATAGGTGCAGTGCAGGATTTGCCAAGGAAAACGATACCATTAACTCTTTTACTCTTCTTCCCATGTAGGTCCTGGCTTTGGCTTTATGCTAAAGGGACATTTGAGCCCATATTTCTGGTACATGAAAGTGTCATAGAAGCTAAGACTTCATGAAGGTGACACTGTTATCACTTAAAATGTTTTGATTTTTCTTTTTCAATACAATTATTGAATGATTTAGACCTCTGTGTGTGCTGTTTTTTGCACCTCCTCTGTCTGGCATGTCCTTCTTCCCTTGTAAATCCTATAAGACCATGTCAGGTGACTCCTACGTGAACTTTTAACTACACAGAAGTTTAGAGTTGTTATATCTCCCTCATGAATTAAAGTTTTAATCACCTCTTCTAATAAATGCTTTTCTTCTTAAACTCGTTTATCTGATATTAATAATGGCCTTTTTTTTTCATTAATATTTGCCAGCTCCAGTTTTTCATATTTCTATTTTCTGTCTGTTGGAGCCTCACAGGTTTGAAGTCTCTTAGGAAAGTATATATCTGTATTTATAATATTTTCAATTTACATTTACTGTGATTGTTGATGTTGGGACTTAGTTATATAACTTCATCTTGTGTCTCCTCTTTATGTACTTCTTATTCTCTACTTTCTTCTCTCTTACTTTTTCTAATGTAAAAAGCAAACTTTGTGATTCTTCATTTTCCATATACAAATTTGGTGTGCTAGTTGTATGGGAGGCTTGAACCAGCAGGGTTCTGTTTGGTTTCTTAGAGTTTCTTCCTTTAACTAGGCAAATGAGAAGATTCTGGAGGACATTTATAACTTCTTATTATATCACCAAGAAAGAAGAATAGCTAAAGGGAGACTTGGAGAAAAACTTTTTTTTTTTAGCAATTCTCTTTGGAAATTAAAGTAATTTAATAGCCAAGTTGCTAGTTCTTGAAACAATGTTTTGTTTTTAGTTCTCAAAATGAGGGATCAACATGATAAACAATGTTGGATACAGAAAGTTGTATGATGTGTCGGCTTCCAGTGAGGGGGAAAATCCTGTGATCTTTTCTGGACTTTCAGGCACCTGGTGACTACATGAGGAAGCACCTCTGCTCAACCTGTTTCAAAGCTCTCATCCTTTAGAGTGCCCTGGTGGTGTCTGATCTCCTCTTGGCCAGAAATCAATCAAACAAACACCAAAGAAAGCCACTATACTGCGTGATCCTACTCAGTTATAACAAGACCACCTGATCATCTAGAATATGCTTCTATCATTTTTTTCAGATTATCATTTACATAAAAGTAATATTTAGGCCCTTCCTGGTGGTGCAGCGGGTTAGAGCACAACACTAAGAAGCTAAAGCCACTTCAGCATGAGTTCGATTCCCGCCTGCCCCGGAGGTGACCACATGGCGTGGCAGACCTCTCCTGACCCGCCCGCTGCTCCCCTCAGCAGTGTACTTCCTGGATCTGCCTGTTCTGCTCCCCACTCTGTCTCTGGCGAATCCTCTCACTGCCCTTGCACTTCTGGCCTATACCCCAGCTCTGTATGCATAAATAAATAAATCTTTTAAAAATACATATGTATTATGGAAAATTTTGCTTTATGTTTCCCACCCCCCCCTTCAGAAAAACAGGTATAGCTGTTAATAGCCTGGAATCTTGATTTCAGAGAGACTGAATTCTGATTCTTCCATTCACTAGCTATGTTAGCTAAGGCAAGTTACTTACTTGTCATATAAACTTCAGTTTCTTCCTATTCTAAGTGAGGCTACTGGTAAGTCTATACATAGTGTTATAAGGATTTAATAATTTTGAGCCATAATAAATTATGATGTTATTGGCTTAAAGTTGGTATTCAAAAACCAGTAGCTATTACAATGATTATTTTTTATGTAAATAAGAAACTTGTTGAAAACAATTTTTCTTCTACTCCTATTCTCTCAGCATTAATAGGTGGGCTTATTCAGACAGGATTTTGAGATAAGGCTGGGACCAGTGAGTATGGAGCCCTTTGCCCCAAGGACTTGTCAGGCTGAGTATGATGGACTTACCTTTGAACTAAGATTCCCTGGAGGAAGTCAGGAGTGTGACTCACACCTTCTTGTGTGTCATCCTGAGGCAACAGATAGAAGGGCTGAACTCCTTGCATTAGCAGGTGTGACCTCCTTGATAAGGTTCCCATGATCTTATACCCTAAAACCCACATCTCCTTCCCAAACCCAGTTAGAGAGTCAGCTACCACAATGCTGCCAGCTTTAGTCTCAGAAACTGTTGCTTCAAGGGTTAGAGGGCATTCTGTTCTGGGGGGGTTGAGTTAGAATTAAAAATTCATTTTCCTACAAAGGTTATTATTTATAAGTGCTATGTACCAGTGGACTCAATAGTATCAGCAATGGGTAAAATAAGACTCTTAGGATATACTGAGATCCTAACCCCCCTAATAATACTTTACTGTAGGAAGTGTGTCTTCAGTTCCAAATAACTGATGTTCAAATAACGTAGGCTAACATAAACATTACAAAATTGAAGTGGCCATCCTTCACATCTTCAGGGCAGGAAAAGGGAGAGAAATTCTACAGACCACCAGAAGTGTAGGAACAGTTGAACATTATGCATTTTTCTAAACTGGGTGCAGCCAGGACAACAGATGAGCAGTTTTTAGCAAAGAACAGCATATGTGACCCGATAATGGAGACATTAAATTAGATCTGGCCCCTGCTGTGTCTGGATGCCTCATGATTCTTTGGAGAGTCTTTCTAAGAGAAGAGAAGGTGGGCCCTCCCTGGTGGTGCAACTGGGTAAAGAGCAGCACTATCAAGCTAGCCGCAGCCACTTCAGTGCAAGTTCAATCCCCTGCGTGGAAGGTGACCCACATGGCTCAGCAGATCTCTCCTGTCTTGCCCGCTGCCCCCCTCAGCAGTGTACACCATCAATCTGCCTACTGTCTCTGGTGAATCCTCTCACCACCCCTGCATCACTGGCCTGTATCCCAGTTCTGTATGCATGAATAAATACATCTTTAAAAATAAACAAATATATAAAAATGTGTGTATATATTTCTATAAAAAAAAAAAAGGAAAAAAAGAAGCAAAAACCTTTTTTTTTATGGCTTTCTAGAAATTTCTCAGTATTACCTAGGCTTCTACACTTATACTCCCTCATCCTAAGTCAGCTTTGTGCTAGGCAGCTCTCCAAACTGTCTTTGCAATAGTGTCTGTTCGTCACTCTTATCTCTGCTGTTTTTCTGCCCCAGACATGGATCTCCCATCAATCAGTCAGTTAGTTGGTAGATGCCAAGAGTCTGCCATTGTCTGACTTTGAGGCTCTGCAAGGGTGCAGAAAAGAAAAAGGCAGCTTCTCTGTTCTTAAGAACTTTACAAACTAGTTTGGGAAGCAGTTACTTCCTTGCTGTTACAAAGTGCAGGTTCAAGTCAGCCAACTCAGATCTGAAGCCCAGGGCTATTTCTTAACTGTGTGCTTTCCATTTTAGTGTCTTCATCTGTAAAATGGGATATTAAGCCCTACCTCACAGATTGTCATGAAGATTGTATTGATAAAACATTTAGCAATGCATGGATATAGTAAGTTCTTGATAAATGTTTATTAATAATAATAATGTTTAGAAAGTCCAAAATGGAGTATAAAGTAGTTTGGGCTTAGGAAACTAATAACACCTTCCTCAATGCCCAGAGCTTGGGGGTAGAGTGGGATGGGGACAGTGTTGCTTTGTGGGTCACAGAAATGGATGGCAATGGACTTGCTAAGAGAGGACCTTGGGGTACACTGATTAAAGATCTGTTGTTCACTTCTTGGTAAAGATGGTCTATTTGTCTTGACCTAACTCTGTATTTGGTCTCTCACTAGGCTTGGAAACCAAGCAATTGAAAATTCCTCTGCCTTTCAAGAATTTGCTAGTCAGGCGCAAATTCAAGACATATATAAAAGAGCTTTAACATAAAAATGAAGCCATATCTTAATTCAGAAGCCCAAAATTATATAGTACAAACTTAATATAGCTCTGAGTAATATTTACAGCACAAAATGCATATTGATAAGTCTAAGGTCTGGACTTTAGATGTGTTAATAACAGCTCGTGGTAGTCACAGAGGAGAGGACCATCTTCCTGTGTTCCTGTGTCTAGCACCTTGCCTCTGTCCCCTGCCAATTTCTCTCCTGAGACTGTGGTCTGGACCAGCGAGTGATACCTAATTCCAAATCCTGGCCAGGAATCAGCCTTTAGTGCTTTTGCATGTAAAGCTCAGAGTGATTTCCCAGGGGAGCCCTATGTTTTGGCATGCTTGAAAGCCAGGCTGGGTGGCATGATGAGTGGTGAAAGAACTCCCTTAAAACAGTGCCTGGGACTTTAGGTAACTGCTAACTCTGCCTTTTGCTGAGGATGGTGTTTACTTTGCAGGCTTAATGACAGCTCTGGTTTTCTGGGAGTGTTGCCATTAGGAGACTCAGGCAAAGACCTCCTTGGGCCTCCTCCCGAACAAGAGTGCCTCACAGCGAGGGCAGTTTCGTGGAACCTGGATTCGGGTGTGAAACACAGATCCCGTCAGAAGATTTTTCAACAAATGTCTGAGTGGCTTTGACCTCTAGATCAATGTGTGTGTCCAGCACACACTGAGGTATCTCCTTATCTCCTTCTCTTAGTCGATGATGCAACTCTGAGACGAAAAGCAAAAATGGTGATTCGATATTAGTTCTACATATCCTCATGGAATCTGAAGACACCATTGAGATCATCTCCAGTCAGGAACAACTGAAGCCCAGAGAAGCGAAGTGCCCTGCCGACGTCACACAGCAGGTGAGTTCAGGGGCTAAGGCTGCAGCCCAGGTCTTTGGCCCCAGTCCTGTGTCTTCTCATCATTCTCTCTGTTGATAACCATGGACAGGGTTTCCTTCTCCCTTTCTTTGGTCTCTTCCTCTTTCTCATATCCCACAAAGAGCCAAGATGATCCAGGAAATCCTAACTCATTTCCAAAGGCAGCTTGATGTCTGTTGCCAGGCTGCTTCAGCATTTCATAGGAAAGCATGCACATTACCGATCCATTCAGGTATCTGTGTTCATAAATATAGAGAACCTTGCTCATCCTACCATTCTCATGCTCGCTCTCCTTTCCAGCCCCCCAGCCTTCTTACCTACCCATCTCCTTAAGCTCAGATAGCTTAATAATAATTAAAGATTTATTTATTCATTCATACAGAACTGGGGTATAGGCCAGAGGTGCAGGGTGGTGAGAGGATTCACCAGAGACAGAGTGGGGAGCAGAACAGGCAGATCGACGAAGTACACTGCTGAGGGGGGCAGTGGGCAGGTGAGGAGAGGTCTGCCGCGCCATGTGGGTCATCTTCGGGGCCGGGGATCGAACTTGCACTGAAGTGGCTGCAGCTAGCTTTCAGTGCTGCGTCCCAACCCATTGGGCCACCAGGGAGGGCCTCCTTAAGCTATATTTTAAGAAAAAAACTTTACTTGGGATATGTATTTGGGTGAAATCCTTGACATTTTCCTTCCTTCCCGTTGTTTAAATTATCATCATTGTAATGACTTCATTTTACAGACTTTTTTAATATATTAACTCTGTAGGATAACTCCAAAGTTTTTCCATGTGTTGGAGGAGGAGGATGCAGCCAGGACAAGGTAGAGGGACTTTGGAAAATGTGGGCAGGTGTTTGTGAATGTCTGGGCAGTGGAATATTTTTGTGGCATGGTGGGTGTTTTTGAACTCTCTGGAAACTAACTCACAAGCCCCACACATTCACTTGATGGAAGTCCTCCAGATTTTACACAACACAGAAGTCTTTCAGAAGTTTGAATTGCGTCCAAGTCAAATTATGGCCCAATGTGCTAGCGCGAAGGGGAGACAGAGCAAATCAGAGGAACTGACCCTGACCCTGGACACCCAGGAGACGCAGGCATCGGTGCTGGGTCTAATGCTCATGGGTTTCCCTTCCTGTAGAAGTGATAACAGCCTCTGCCTTAGGGAGTTAATTTGCTGGTAAAAATAAAACAATATAGTTAATGTGCTGAGCACAATGCCTGGCACTGAGTGAGCACCTGTTAGTTCTGGAAAACAATGGTCAGTCAACAGGAGAAGGCCCTGCTGGGGCAGTGGGGCACCCTCACAAGGGGCACAGGCATTGAGTTCAGGTCTCAGTTTTGGCACTTTCTAGCTGTGAGCTCCTGGGCAAGCTGTGTCGCTCCTTTGCCCGTCTTCACCACCTGGGTTGCAGAGTGATTGCGGGTGTGTCCACATCCGGCTCCCAACTTAGAGCTTGGCGTGCAGTGGTTGCTCAGTAATGGTAGCTTGTGCTCTAGGTTCTTCAAGAAAAGGGCCATACAGGAACCTCCCAGTGGTGCAACGGGTTAAAGCGCAGTACTGTGAAGCTATTGCGGCCATGGCAGCACGAGTTCAATCCCCAGCCAGGGAGCTGACCCACATGGTGTGGCAGACCTCTCCTGACCTGCCCGCTGCGCCCCTCAGCAGTGTACTCCGTCCATCTCCCTGTTCTGCTCCCCACTCTGTTCCTGGTGAATCCTCTCACCGCCCCTGCCCCTCTGGCCTGTACCCCAGTTCTTGTATGCACAAATAAATACACCTTTAAAAAGAAAAAAAGAAAGAGGCCATACAGGACTGAGGGGCTAAGACCACTGTCTGACTGGGAGCAGTGGGTGGCATGTGAACTTAGGAGAGCGAGGACACCCCTGGGGCACTGTTATCACAAGTGAATACAAACTTGCAGCTTCAGAAAAGTTTTTTCTCACAGTTCTGGAGACGTCTAAAGTCAGTATTGCTGGGCCAAAACCAAAGTGTCAGCAGGATCCACGCCTGCCAGAAGTTGTCAGGAGACTGTCCTCGCCTCTCCCAGCTTCTGGTGGCTGCTGGCCTTCCCGGGCTGGGGGCTGCATCACCCCAGTCTCACCCCAGGCCTCACATGATCTCCTCCGCGCGTGTGTGTGAGAGACAGGCAGAACAGAGCGAGCTCTCCCTGCTTCTCCTGTAGGGACACCTGCAATAGCACGTAGGGACCATCCGGACAGCCTCTCCCGCTCAAGAGACTTTGCTGCAGCACATCTGCCCAGACCCTTTCCCTCAGAAGGTAGCATTTGCAGGCTCTACGGGTTGGACCTGCTGTCTCTGGGGGCTGTTGCTCTGCTGACCACAGGGCATGGAGGCCCAGGGGCGGGAGGGGACTCCAGCTTGCCTCCGTGCAGTGAGGTGGCAGGGACAGG